CCTTTGCTGACCCTGTGCATTTTCCCATCTCTATCTAAATAGGTCAATGCCGTTCGCTTGTCGGTAGGGTTAAAAGGAAGGAAATGGAGTTCTTGAATGCCAGCACGTGCCTAATCATGGTGATTTTAAAAGTCAAAAGTTACAACAAAGTGGACTTATAAGTTGTATAACAGACATCTAGGTTTTCTCTGGTACACAGTACTGCATAGTATAATAATCAAAATCTGATTTTCGTTTTAGTTTTAATATTTTCCAATATAGTTAATCCTGTATAAGAAAGAAACTTTCTACTAAGATAGAATGATGCTACCTCCTTTGGATCAGCCAGCATCCCAACTATAGCAGTATCTATTGCATCCTGGTTTTCTGTTCGAGATGCTCGGGCCGCCATCAGAACAACAGTATCTGCATCAACACCCTTGGCAAAAACCTGCGGACAAGCACATAAAGCACAAAATAGATGTTTTAAGTCCTGTTTGCTATTAGAAATAGTGTAGAAAATCAGCAGAAAAGCACCCGTTAATTAACCTCTATAAGATTCTTATCAACAGTGAGCTTATTCAGAGTCAAAGTTCCAGTCTTATCGCTGCAAAGCACATCCATGCCTGCCATTTCTTCTATAGCTGTCATTCTCTTTGTAATAGCTCCCTGCACATGTATTAATAGCCCATCACATACTAGAATCGTCTAGCAACAATAGATAGTCATAACACAGGGAAGCAAGCAAAACCTGTTGAGCCAAACGATGAGCACCAATGGCCATTGTAACAGATAGAACAGTTGGCATGGCAATTGGTATTCCTCCAATGAGAAGCACAAGAAGGTTATCAATCCCAGGGCGATAATCCCGATGTTGGATGGGGTACATCACAACAATCTCTATAATCATCCCCACCGCAATAGAGCAAATACAAAAGTTCCCGATTGCAGTCAAAACCTAGCCAATACAACAACAAAATAGTACTAAAACTTGAGGTTTCAAAGGGAAGTATAAGAAATCCAGAAAAATATGGCATATTTGTAGTTACTTACCTTTTGAAAGTGCCCGACTTGGTTAGTACTATCAACAAGATGAGCAGCCTTTCCAAAAAATGTGTGAACACCAGTAGCAATGACAACAGCTTCAATCTCTCCCTGTTTGCAGGTAGAACCTGAGTAAACACCATCCCCTGGACCCTTTGTTACAGGAAGGGACTCGCCCGTCAAAGCAGACTGCAAATCCCATCAATGTGATTCAACTAGCTCCAATAAACTCATGATGTGTATTATATTGAGCCAACAAATCGTAAAAAAATAACATACCTGATCAATTTTCAATGGATCACCCTCGAGCAAGCGAGCATCAGCGGGAATTATATCTCCAAGTTTAATACTGATTACATCACCGGGGACTAAAATTGCAGCATCTTCCTCACTCCACCTCCCATCTCTAAGAACCTACATCATAATAGCTATTATTTTATCAGATAAAAACAAGCAAACCATTCATGGTAACTCCAACGTAATATCAAATTTAACCTTAGCTTTTGGAGCAAGACTAGCCATGAGAGCTGCTGCTGCGTTGCCAGCATTGTTCTCCTCAATAAAACTAATTGTCGAATTTATCACAAGCAAAGTAATAATACCCACAAAATCTTGCCAATCCGGAGGCTTTCCCTGCGGAACTTGAATTTAAACATTAGTAAACCCCCCAGAAAAATGCATACTTTTCAGCAATACAATTTTAAAAACTATGTCCTTACTCCTCCATTTGCAAGGGCAATTGCCATTATAGCCGCAGCTTCCATAACCCATGAGAGAGGATTCCACATAAACCCCAAAAACTTTAATAATTTGCTCTCCTGTAAACATGCCCCAAGAACTTAAAGACGTGAACTTTTATCATTAAATCCAAATTCAAAACCACAAAGTCACCAGATCCAAATTCAGGAGGACAGAATAACCAGCTATTACTATCCCAAAAATCATTTTGGTAAATTTATCGCTCAGTTAAAGCTTGAACATCTAATACACAAGCACCCATAATAACAAAAAAAAAAAGGAAGCCAGGAAACATAAGAATTGAGATGCAAATGAGCTTCAGGTCAGCATCAGAATTACTCGAGCCTAAGAATTAAATTCTCAAACACAATAAAGTGCAAGGAAAATTGAAGACTATATAACAGAAGAATCGAAGTTAAAAAGGGCCAGAAAATGTAAAATGAACCTTCTTTTCCTCAAGTTTGTTGTGCCCAAAAATGGTTAATCTTTCTTGAGCAGCCTCAGTTGAAAGACCCTCTCTGGTACATCTCAAATTCTCAAACACTTCTTCAATGGGAATGTTCTCCTGCGCAAAAACAAGCAAGAAAAACGCACACAAAACCATCAAAATCTAGCCAAAAACAAATCCATAAAGCAAAAACAAGAAAAGCGTTCAGATCCCTTGCCAAATCAACAGTTTCCTTCAATACAGCATCCAAAACTTCAGGTTTATCACCCATCTCGAAACCCTGTAAACTCTTCTCTAAAGAACCAAGAGTTCAGATCAAAGCTTATTCAAGAACCACCATAAACAGAGGCTCCTAGGAGATTCCAGTTAAAAAGATTAGATTTTAAGTATGGGAAACGGATTTCAAGACCAAACTGAGGCGTGACCACCTACACCAAATCTATAATAGAAATGAAACTGTGAAACCGCAGATTGAGTGGTAACAGTTGCAGTAGTACATAGCCTTTTGCATTTCCCATTAATTTATGTATGTATAAATAGATATAATTATTATAATATTTTTAACTTTACATAAAAGCTGTAAGACCAAACTTTCACCATAATTACTCTTTTTTCTAAGCTTTTAGGTACTTGAACCAGCAGACATTAACATTTCTACCTCCTACAATTTGTACGGTATGTATTTTGAGTAATTTAGCAGCATTTTAATTTAATTTATAATTATTTTATTTTTTAGTTTAAAGATAAATTTGGGATTTTCCCGATTTATGCAAGTTGGTTGATAAAGATCAAGATGAAACCAGCTGAAACAATCAAGAGCCATAACGCATATGGGCTCTCATCATCTTTTAGCCCTACTCTTTAATTTCATTGCCGACGTATAGTGATTTCTTTTTTTGCATTTATTGTGAGTAGGGTACAGGAAAGTGTGAATGTCTTTGAAGAACGAACTTGTGCTCTAGATGGCAAAAGTCGAAAGTTTAATTGTTGAATGTATTTCTAACTTATGCTTTTTTTCTGGTACTTGTAGTCTCATTCTTGTGTAAATCAACAATAACAAGTTGGCAAGGTTAAATAGTATTGAAACTCTCACAAGACTCTTAAGTTGAACAAATTTTTATTTATTATTATCGCTTAAGGTTAGCGATTGATGATGAAAAAAAAAAAAAAGATTTTTCAAAAAATAGGATTCATTTTCAAACAAATATTCTCTCAATAAAATAATATTACATATAGATACAAAAAAAAATTCTATTTTTAACTACACATTTTTCATTAAAAAAAAATCATTTTCACAAATTTATTCTTAAAAATTCTTTACCAAACAATAATCTAGTCTACATATGTGGCAAACAAGATTTAGCACCATCTAACATCTATTTAATTTATAAATATAATATGTCAAATTTACTTTGTATCTACACATTTTATGAGTCATACAAGTATTACATACTTATTTATCACTTATTTCAATTTATTTATAATTCAAATTGATTATAATTATTTTCAAACATGCACTTTATATTTATCACCATGGATATATATATGTGTGTGTGTGTGTGTGTGTGTGTGTGTGTTGGGCTCGGAAGTTTCAATAACACACGTTGATTCTAAACCAGATTGTAGAGAATGAAATTGTAATGACAATATTGAAATAAACAAGATTACACCATGAAAAACAAAGTTTAGAAGTAAAGAAGACACAAATGATTAATGGCAAAGGATGATGTTTATTAATTCAACAATATGGAGAATACAAAGCAATTTAACAATTGGCTTCGATCTATTACATCTAATAAAATTGATAGATGAACCTTGTATTTATAGGTCAATCCTAGAAAAATCCTAAAAGGCAAGAAAATATATTACATAAAGAGACCCAATTTCAACAGGATTTTGAATACTTTTGTTGGATGCACTTAGATTCCCTTTCCAAGTAAAAATTTAACACGCATCGTTAAAAAACTCCTAACCAATTTTTAGAATTCCACTTGATCAAATTCTAAATCAACAATGATCCTAACACATTTCAGTCAACAAACCTAACAATCTCCACTTTGACTCAAATTTCGGTGATACGAACAAAACTCCTAAATTTCAAATTCATCCGCATTGAAATTAACTGGCCGAATCTCCTCAACACAGTAACCACTCCATATAAACCAAACCTCATCCTCTGCTCAGCGTCCACAATCGACACCAAAACCCAAACCTAGGGTTCCCAATTCTACCAAGGAATTAATGTTGATCACACAGGCCCGAAGCACACCCTGTAGCAAGAACCAAACCAGACGCTTGATCATAAGGCCCATTGCTGGAACTATCGCCTTCAACATCCCCAAAAGCATCCCAAACATTGCTGACACCACAGTACCTATGCTCGATGAGTTCTACCCCAACAACTGAACACAATGTACCCACTAAAATTTGTGTCAAAGTGGGATCATCAACGCTCTCCCTAGCAATATTCTGAACTGACTCAGAACCTAGCCCAAGAGGTACTGTACTAAACTAAACTTTCACCACGATACTAAACTTGTCCAAATGTCTCCTAACCAGTTCTGCACTCCCTAACAAAATGTACAATTGGGATCTCTTCCATCCCTCCAGTACAACCCAAACTCCTTTTCAGACTTTTAAGATTCCACCTCCTCTAGAGAATTTATATTCTTTTGTATCCAGGGTACTTAGCAAAATGAGATTCATTTTCAGGTCAGGAACATGTCGAACCTGATCAATTGTTCTAATTGTTCTATTCTGTAGCCTCAATCTAACTCGATCGATCCCAACAATATGGCAAGATTGGTTGTTTCTCATTACAACCCCACCTTACTGAACAACCTCATATGTCTAAAATAAATTCCTATTGGAACATATATCTTGCGACCATGCTGAATCAAGAATCCACTCCTCGTCAGGCCTAGATTCCACATCAGATACCATGGTCAACATCACCTCTTCGCTATTTGAACAATTCTCAACTACATTAATTTCGTCTGAATTCAAGGGTTGCGTTTCATGATTTACAACTAAATCACCTTTAACCTGCAACATATCGCAATCCTTCCGAATATGTCCCTTCCTTTTGTAGTAGTAACAGGTCATATTGCTAAAATCTAACTGTCCATTTGCCTCTTCGTCGACCATCTTGATATACAAGAGCTTCCCCATCCCTTGATGCAGCTCCAACCAAGTACTTCATCTTCTTCTTTAAGTGCAAAGCATCATAGATATCTTTATAGGCAAACTATCTCGATTATACAAGATAATATCTCGAAACGATGCATAAGACTAGGTAACGAACACAACAGGATCAAGGCAAGATCTTCTTCATCGTACTTAACCTCTAACGTCTCTAGATTTACAACTATTTCCTTAAATATGGAAACATGGTCTTCCAACGACTCTCCTTCCGCAATGCGATGTGAATACAGCTTCGGCTTAAAAGTCAGTTTACTTGTACGACTCTTAATCATACGCAACTGTTCCAACCTCAATCACAAAGTAGCTGCCATTTTTTCCTTCAAGACATCCTGCAGAATGTTGTTAGACAGATGAAGATGAATCAATGGCGTAGCCTTTCGATCCTTCAGTTGATTCTCCTCCGTTGTCCATCCAGCCGGCATCCTCTTAAAATCCAGCAATGCATCTTCCAAATCCAATTGTGTTAGAATGACTCTTATCTTTACTTGCTACAACGAGAACCTTATATTGCGATCTAATTGCGGAATATTATACTTCAACCCAGCCATTTCAGAAAAAAATCTCAACCAATCCACAAAAAATCAACAGTCTAGCTCTGATACTACTTGTTGGGCACGAAAGCTACAATAACACACATTGATTTCAAACCGGATTGTAGAGAACGAAATTGTAATGACAATATTGAAGTAAAAAAGATCACACTATGAAAAATAAGGTTTAGAAGTAAAGAAGAGACAAATGATTAATAGCAAATGATGATGTTTATTAATTCAATAATATGGAGGATACAAAGCAATTTAGCAATTGGCTTCTATCTATTACCTCTAATAAAACTGACAGATGAGCCTTGTATTTATAGGTCAACCTTAGAAGAGTCCTAAAAGGCAAGAAAATATATTACAATTAGGAGACTTAATTTCAACAGGATTTTGTTTCCTTTTGTTAGATGCATTTAGATCCCCTTTCCAAGTAAAAGTCTAACACACATCTTTAAAAGATTCCTAACCAATTTTTAGGATTCCACTTGATCAAATTCTAAATCAACCATAATCCTAACACTATATCATGAGAAGAAAAGATTCCTTTGTGAACAAATTAGTCAACTTTGTGATGTTATTTTGTTGTGCCTACACTCCGATATGTTTGACTAATAGAGTGTGACAAATGACCCAATTATTGACTTGATCGAAGACTATTTTCTTTGGAAGCGGGAAGAAAATATTTTACTTCAATTTTATAATCTATTAATAGATTAGGAAAAAATTTGCACAATTGTATTTGTGGACCCATATTTTGGGGAGACGATAATTTCTAAAAACGTGACAAAACGCACTAGACAATAATAGGTCAATTTTGTAAGAGTATTTAAAGGATACATTATTAAAATGAGTTCTAAAGATTTTAGTATAGTCCATCTCATTTTTGAACAAGTGTGAAAAAGTTTGGACTTATTTGTCGAAGCAATTTAAACATTTTAACATGTGATTTTTATTTTTTATTTTTTTTTTCTCGACCATATTATAGTCAAAAGCTTGTAGTTCTTCAAGAGTAGATTAATTAAATAAGAAACTACATGCCAAAAATTTATCTTTTCTATAGTATATGAGTGAGACAAGATATTTACTCTAAAATCAAGAAGATAACATGCAAATTATAAAAAGCAGCACACGAATTACCCTTCTCCGAATTCAAAAGGTGATGACCAATTGAGAGAGTTGAATCCACTTCTATAACCTGATCCAATGGACACTGAGAAAAAGCTTAAACATACTATTACTAGGCCCCTGTTTGGCCCCCCATTACGTGAAAAATTAATGGGTGGGATAGTATTTTTTTGAAAAATGAGTGGTTGAAAATGAAAGAAAAATTTTCGATTTATGTGTGAATTATTTTATGGAAGATTGTGTAGTTGAAAATATGAGAGAAAAAAATGAAATGTAATGTAATGTAAATTAATGGGACTTAAACAGGTGCTAGAAAGTAAGTAATCTCGAGTCATGGGAGGGGATCAACCACTTGAAAGATAAAAAGAGGGTTTGGACGAAGATTGAAACTTATTAAAAATAGGATTAATATATATGTATTCACAAACTTTGATAAAATGGGTTACACACACTCACAAAAAATGCGGACCCCACATGAATTCAAAAATGCTAGCTGTGTGGCCCCCACCCCTATTGTGAGTGTAAGTAAAATTTTTTGTACAAAAGTGTGAGTACATGTAGCATAATCCTTAAAAATATATATGATATAAGGGGTTCATTGGAAATATGTGTGAAAGAATTAACTATAAAAATTAATGAAATATGTGATTAAAAAGTTTATAAAA